GAGGAGCCTGGGTGGGAGGGGGCTAGGGCTGTGAGGAGCCTGGGAGGGGGAGGGGGGCTAGGGGCGGTGAGGGGGGGGGGGGGGGGGGGCTAGGGTCTGTGAGAAGCCTGGGTGGGGGAGGTCAGAGGACCTGCAGGAGCCAGGGGCCTAAGGAGCCGGGATGAACCAGGGCAGGAGCCTGGCAGTGGGTTCTGAGGGGGTTCAGGCTGTGAGGGACGTCTCCCCATCTTTCCCCAGAGTAACGATTTCTTCTTGGAGTTTTTTGTCACCGTGGCCATGGAGGGTTTAGAGGACAAATATAGGACCCAGCTCAGCCGAGGTGAGGCCTTCCTCAGGGGCCTGGGGTCTGGTGCTTGGCAGGGCTTCGTGGAGGCTGGGCATGGCCTGCTGACACCCATTCCTCACTGCCCGCAGAGTGGCGCCTGCTGAAATACCGACCCTTCCTGGGCTCCATCTCCCAGCAGAACATCCGCACCCAGAGCCAGCCACGGCCTCCGACTATCCAGGAGCTTGGAGATGGGTGAGAGGGGCTGGAGGCAGCGTGCCCTGCATTGCCTGGGTGCCCGGGGCAGGGGGGGCAATACCTTCCTGTGTCCTCTGCACCAGGCCCCCTCACCCCTGCCCCGCCCCCACCCTCTGCACACCCTCCACCTTGCCCTGCTTAGTCATGCTCTTGTCTGTTCTCTGCGGCTGTGTGCATGGATCCAGGAACTGGTTTTGCTTCACAATCCATGTTTGCAAAGGGGATTTTGTTTGTCATGCTTCCTCATCAGGCAGATGAGAAGAGGTGGGAAGGAGAGAAAATGGATCTTTTTTTGAAAAAAAAAAAAAAGAACGTAAGGTCTTTGCAGACAGAGATGGTTTATTTTTTGCCATTGTAGCCCTAGTACTGCACACAGTAGGCACTTAATAAATGCTTGTTGATTGATTGTTCCAGCACTGAGGATCGCCCTCTGAGGCTTTGGCTAGAGGCCCCAGACCTGCTTCTGGCTGAGGTGGTCTTGCCCAAAGTGGTAAGTGCCAAGAGCAGGTGGGCGTCCCAGGCACATGAGAACACCCTGTTGGGGCGGGGAGAGGTGGAGCCTGGGATTTTCCCATCAGACCCAGAGGGCTGGAGGGGTCTGGTACCGAGGAAGCTAGGGTTCAGAATGGGCTTGTATCTCATTCTGCCTGTCTGTCTGTTTCAGGACTCTGCCCGGGAGCTCTCACTTCAGCTTGGGGGAGACCGACTGGTCCTGGGGTCACCTGGAGCCCCCTATCACATGGACATCTTTGTCCCCCATGATATTAACCAGGAACAGTGCCGAGCTGCCTTCAACCGGAAGAGCAAGGTGGGCCCAGGAGATGCCCGGGCTGCAAGTGGGGTGGGTGGTCTGGGCCCCAGGAGCCAGCCGGGGTGTTTGGGTCTTTAGTGCCTCCTGTCTCTCCTCCAGACCCTGATGATCTCCATGCCCCTGCAGACAGCCTGCTCCTGAGCCGCAGGACCCTGACTCCTTGGGTGGATGTCGGGCGTGGCCACACTGCCGCCGTCCCCTGACTCACCATAGAATAAAAGATTTTTATCTGAAAGAACTCTTGAGTTGGGGCTGAGGCCTGGTGCCCGTAGGGTGATTGGGAGGAAACTCCAGGGCCCCCAGTGGCATGGTGGCGGGGTTCAGGGACCAGACACTGGGGGAGGCCAGGGAAGATGGCTCTGCCCTCAGGCAGCCTTTATTTTACTGAGGGGAGACCAGGGGGACTGGAGTTCAGTGAATGGTGTTTGAGGTGTTTGAGGAGAGAGCATTGATCAGGAGGGGAAGGTGGTCCCTGAGCTGAGGCTGGAAAATCCTAAGAGGAGGCAGTGTGTATGGTGTGGAGGATCCAACAGCCGGGGAGGGAAGGCATATTGGAAGTACAGCCTCTAGGCTTGGCTGGAATGCCCCAGGGAGAAGGGGCTGGGGAAGGAGGCGGGGGCTGGATGCCAGGCTGGGGAGCTTGTTTCATCCCAGAGGTGACAGGAAGCTCTAATGGCATGCCACAATCCCACCTCCCTCCGCTTGGGCAGCTGAGAGGAGAGATTGGATTTGGGAGGTCAATGAGGAGACAGTCCAGTACTCCAGAAGCGAGAAGATGACTGGCTGAATGTGGGTGAGGGCTGTGTGCCTGGCGAGACGAGCAGACATCAGAGGTTGGTGGAGTGAGGGAGAGGGAGAGGTCAAGAGTGACTCCCGGCTGAGGACCCGGGGGACAGGAAGGATGGCGAAGGTGGAAGAAGGGCTGGTTTGGAGAGGATGGTGAGGATGTGGGACTGGAGCTTGAGGGGCACTGAGGCTGCCCATGAAGAGGCATGAGATGGTAATTAGATCCCTGGGAATTAAGGAGGTCACCGCAAACAAGTAGCATATAGGGATGAGAGAAGAGGGCTCAGGACAGAGCTTTGGGGGCACCTAGAGCGTGTGATATGGATAGGGCCCCAGAGGAGGATGGAAAGCAGTGATGAGGTCAGGAGAAGGCATGTAGGGGCCGTGTCATTGAAACGTATAGAGGAGGAGGTCATCAGATGGGGCAGTGGAGAGGTCACTGGGGCCTGCAGGGACCAGGAGACTGGAGGATGGCAGGGAGTTGGATAAATGAAGGCCGCCAGAGCGGGTCCAGTCAGTCTTGAGGGTTTGGGTGTGGGGGGTGCACAGGAGAGCCCTTACTCCCTGGGACTGCAAAGGGCACCGTAGACCCAGGGGCCGTGAGCTTTAGAACCCCCTGAGAAGAGGGCCTATACGCCTCCCTTTCTCTAGCTCTTTCAGGGTCTGGGAGCACCGGAAGAGAGTCAGTTCTGAAAATCTGTGAGTTTGGTTCTGTGCCCCTGCCCTGCTGGGTACCCTGACTGTGGAGGCGGAGGAGGCAGGTGGCTTGCGGTCCTCCCCATGGGCCGAGCAGAGCAGCCCTTTGTCCCTAAGACATAGGAAGGCCCCACAGAAGGACTTGAGGGGTGGCTACTCAAGGCTTCGAACTTATTTCCTGCTTGCCGAAGCTCATGGAGGGCCTGGGCAGCCTATTGCTTGACCTGGCTACTCATGCCCAGCCGTGGGACAGAACTCTGTCCACCCTGGGCCGTAGGCCTGCCCCTGGCCGGACCCCACACTGACAGTGACTCTGACCTCCAGCCTGTGTAGGCCCCAGGCTGCCTGGCCTCGTACCTCTCTCCCTTTGCTGCTGTTTCTGTCTCCTCTTTCATGTTCCCACCGTCTCTCTCCCATGTCCTTCATCTCTTTTATCCCTAGGTTACCCACACTGTTGTCTTCCCTGGGTGTCTGGCTCCCTTGGTCTCTGTCTGTATCTGCTCTTTTCCCTCAGTTGCTGGCCTCACCTTGTCTCCTCCATAGAATGGGAGCTGCCTGCAGGCCAGTTGTTTTTGACCTGGTATCTGCAGCACCTGGCATTCCCTGCCCTTGATAAAAGGCTTGCCAAATGAAACTGAAGTCCATTTCTGTCTTCTCCCTTTAAGACTTAGCTTAGATTCCCAACTCCCCAATCACTGTGCTCTGGGGGGGGCAAGGTCTTCTTGGAGTCACCAGGAAGAGCTTGGCCCCAGAGATCTCTAAGCCCACAATCTGGCTGCATCCTGTTGTCTTAGGCTCTGCCTGTCTCTTTACTTGTCTCTGCTTCTCCCAAAGTGGTCAGGATTTGCAGACAGGCAAGGATTTGCCTCAGTCTTTCTCCTGACCTCCAGTTTTGCATTTCCAGCTGCCTATTGGACATCTCAAATTGGATGTCCCAGAGAGGTCCTAAACGCAACATGTCCCACATTGACCCTTTCAACCAAGGCGGCACAGTGAAAAGAGCACTGTACAGGAATCAGGAAATCCTGAGTTCAGATCCAGTCTCAGCTGTGTGACCCTGGGCAAGTCACTTAACCTCTGTTTACCTCAGTTTCCTCACCTGTAAAATTGGGATAATAGCACTTACCTCCCAAGATTAAGGATCAAGAATAGTATTTGTGTAGCACTTAGCACAGTGCCTACCTGGTACATATAGGCACTAAATAAATACGTGTTTATGGAATACTGATCGACTGATTAACCTCTTCAGCGTAGTCCAATAGAAAGAACTAAGGATCTGGGTATTTCTACAAGGCTGTTCCACTCTGTGCAGGGCTGGGGGGACCCTGGCAGTTCTCATAAATAGATAAATTGGTCCAGGTGTCCAATTTTCCCTTCCAGCTTGCCCTTTGCTTTTGAGACACATTTCCTGTGTGCCATGAAGGCCAGTCATGTGGCTTAGTAAGCTCCCCATTCTGCTGACTCTGTCTTCAGCCCTAACTCTGCCCCTGATCTTCTCATCCCTCACCGTCCCTGGCCCTGTGTTCTGCTTATACTTGTAGATCTAGAGTGGTCACTGAGTCCAACCCCCTCATTTTATAGCTGGGGAAACTGAGGCACAAGAAGGAAAAGCGATTGCTCAAGGTCACAGAATTAGTAAATAACAGAGTTGGGATTTGGCTGTAGACCCAGGTCTGAAACTCAGAAGAAACAAGCTAGAGACAGAGATGTGGGAGTCTGCTGTGTGGAAAGGATGAAAAGTTTATCTGAATTAATTTCTGTACTATTCTAGTGTACTGCACACAGTAGGCACTTCATCAATACTTTGTTGACTTCCATTTCAGTCAAGTACTTTCATTTGGTCAGCTCTCTCTGGGGGATGGGCACCCCTTCCAGATCTTTGCCCTGGCCAAATTTCGCTGTAAATAATTGTGAACACGGGAGACCTTTCATCTGCATAGGTTACAGGCCTAGTAGTGGTATCACTAGGCCAAAAGGCACCTTCATTTTGGCATCTTTGGTAGAATTCTCAACAACTTAACAGAGTCTGGGCCATGTCACGGCTCCACCAACAGGGCATTCATGTGCCTATTTTGTGACAGCTGTGCCAACAACTGTGATTTTCTCTTGGTGTCAGCTTTGCCAGTCTGATGGAGGGGAGATGGCATCTTCATGGTTTTGGTTTTGTTTTTTTTTAACGAATCTAAAGCTTTATTATTATTTCTTGGGCTAGGCAATGGGGTTAAGTGACTTGCCCAGGGACACACAGCTAGTAAGTGTTATGCGTTTGAGGCCAGATTTGAACTTAGGTCCTCCTGAATACAGGGCTGGTGCTGTATCCACTGTGCCTCCTAGCTGCCCCTCCATGGTTTTTAAAATTGACATTTTTCTAAGTATTAGAGCTTTGGTGTTTTCTGTGGTTGTTGGCAACTTGCATTTCCTCTTTTAGAAACTGCCTGTTCATAATTCTTGATCACTTGTTGATTGGAAAATAGCTTTGGTTTGTTTGTGGGTCATTGAACCTATGGGAGCTAATGAGATCAGTAAGGAAGACAGTGTAGACAGAGAAGAGCCTTAGTCTCATCTCTCAGCCCCAGATTCCTCATCTAAAAAAGGGTTATGATAATACCTACCTCATAGCATTATTGTTGTTGCTATTTAGTCATGTGCAACTCTCTGTGTAGACAGAGAAGGGGGTCCAGGACAGAGCTTTGGGATATGCCCACTGTTAGGGGGCATGATGTGAATATGAGGACTGAAAAGGGACAGCCAGACGGGTAGAAGGAAGACAAGAGATGGAGTCCAAGAATTGAAGCATCTGCCCAAGAAATGGTCATCCATTCTCTGTTTGAGGGTCCCCAAGGTTGGAGAGACCCAAGACTCCAGGAGGTGGCCGCCAGAACAGACCACTATGCTCCATCTGCAGTCTGACAAGAGCCAGGAGCCATGGGGCTATCATATTCCCATTCCCAGAAACTGCCCTCCGAATGCATCCTGTGATCCCAATCACATTGGCAGTCACGAGGCACCATAAAGTCACATTCACCTTGCAGGCCACCAAAATCCCCAGAGGTTTTTCGGAACAACTGTTGCCCAACTATATTTCCTGGAACTTGTCCTGGGGAAGTTCATTATTTGTCCCATTGTGCAAGACTGTACATTTCTGCTTATTGAATTTCATGTTATTAGCCTCAGCCCATCGAGATCTGACTCTGTCTTGTGGTATGTAAGCTCTTCCACCCAGCTCAGTGGCATCTGCCAATCTGATGAGCATACCTTCAATGTCTTTATCCAAGTCATTGATAAAAATGTTCCAGGACCTGTACAGATCCAGGGGGTCTGTGTGGGTCTCCCCCAGAGACCTTCTGCCACGTTGATGCTATACTACTAGCTACTCTGACTCTTGCCATCCAACTTGTTCTGAATTGATCTGATTTGTCATCTGGTTCATCTCCATGACAGTACTAGGAGATATTTTATCAAAAACTTTGATCAGCAGAGTATATCCACAGCATTTTCTCAGTTTAGTAATACTGCCAGAAATGGAAATGAGGTTGGTCTGGCATAACTCATGCTTGCTGAAGCCAGGTTGGCTCTTCGAAGCCACTGCTTCTCTTTCTAGATGTTTGACAACCATCTCTTTAATGATCGATTCCTGAACTTTCCTAGGAATTCAAGTCAAGCTCATAGGCTTATCACAGCTTGCAGACTTATTCTGTTCTCTTTTCTGGAAAAAAAAAAGGGGGGGGATAACATTTGTCTTTCGGCAATCTTGTGCCATCTCTCCCACTTTCCAGAATCTTTCCAATGTCCCTGACAGTAACTCAGCAATTACACCTTTCAGTGCCTTTAGGACCCAAGGGTGGAGATCATCTGGTCCGGGACACTTGAACTGCCCGAAAGCAGTGAAGGCTTCTATTACTATCTCCTCACTTATCTTGGGGATCAACTCCCTGGGAGTCACTTTTGTTTTGTCCTTTCTAGCGCAAAGATCATTCTTCTTGGCAGAGGAAACAGAAACAAAACAGGAAGTGAGTAGCTCTATCTTTTCTCCATTTGCAGTTATTATTTTCCTGTCCATTCCAAGCAAACTCTCTGTCCGTGCCTTGATCCTCCCTCCTTTCCCCCCGAAGAGATGCAGCTCAGTGGCATAGTGTGTAGAATCCTGGACTTGGAGTCAAGGGAGACCCGAGTTAAAATCCTGCCTTAGATCTCAATTGTGTGAGCCTTAGTTTCGTCTCCTCTCAGCCCCAGATTCCTCATCTAAAAAGGGTTATGATAATACCTACCTCATAGCATTATTGTTGTTGCTATTTAGGCATGTCTGACTCTGTGATCCCATTTGGAGTTTTATTGGCAAAGATACTGGAGTGGTTTGCCATTTGCTTCTCCAGCTCATTTTATAGATGAGGAAACTGAGGCAAACAGGGTGGAGTGAATTGCTTAGGGTTACACAGCTACTAAGTGTCTGTATTTGAATTCTTCCTGACTCCAGGCCTGGTGCTCTATCCAGTGAACCACCTAGCTGCCCTAGGATTGTTGTGATATTACATAATAGAGCAATATACAAATGCTATTACTATTATTATATAACTTATTAAAAAAGCCTCCTCCCTTTTGTGATCCTTAGCAGACCTCTTGAGACTCAGTCAGTTCTGAGATTTAGCTTTCCTAACGCTCTCTTTATAGGAATTTGCCACATTTCTATTTTCATTCTCCCTTACTGGGCCTTGTTCTGCCAATTTCTTTTTTTCAAAATCAGTTTGTGGTCAAATTGTTTTTATTCTCAGTGGGTAGGGAGAGGAAAGGGAGGGAGAGAATTTGGAACTCAAAATTTGAAAAAGAAAAAGAATGTTAAAATCGTTTTTACATGTAATTGGGGGAAAATAAAATATTAAGTTAAAAAAATCAGCGTGTGAGTGAGTTCCCTGTGCATCCACATTGGTCTCTTCAGACAAATCTCACTCCTCATTGGAATCATTTGCCTTTGTATCTTCAGTCTTTAATTCCTGAGGATCTCTCATCCTTGCTGCTCTACTTTCTTTTCCTGTATCATTGTAGGCTGTGGGATACTTCTATGTATCTTTTTTTTTCTTTAGTATTCTCTTTTTCCCTGGTTACATGTAAAAACAATTTTTAACATTCATTTTTAAAACTTTGAGTTCCAAATTTCTTGCTTCCTCACTCCCCACCCCCTACCCCTCATGGAGAAGGCAAGCAATTAAATATAGGTTATGTATGTGTAGGCATACAAAATATATCCATAATAGTTACATTGGGAAAGAAAACATAGACAAAAAAAACTCAAGAAAAATATGGAAAGTTAAAAAAAAAAAGTATGCTTCAGTCTGCATTCAGACAACATCAGTTCTTTCTCTGGGGGTGGGATAGCATTTTTCATCATAAGTGCTTCAGGGTTGTCTTGGATTGTTGTATTGCTGAGAATAGCTGTCATTCACAGCTGACCATCTTACAACACTGCTGTTACTTTGTACCCAGTACATTTCGCTTTGCATCAGCCCATGCAAGTCTTTGCAGGTTTCTCTGAGAGCATCCTGCTCATCATTTCTCATAGTACGATAGCATTCCACCATAATCAAATAACACAACTTGTTCAGTCATTCCCCAACTGATGGGCATCCCCTCAGTTTCTAATTCTTTGCCCCCAGAAGAGAGCTGCTCTAAATATTTTTGTGTGTATAGTTCCTTTTTTTTAATCTCTTTTGGATACAGACCTGATTCTATGTATCTTGCCACGGACACTTTGAAATCTGCTTTCCCAACTTCTTTCCTAACACAAACTCTAGGGGGGGAGTTGGCATTCGCTCCTGGGGTTCCCTTGGGTGCCACCCCAGCAACTAGCTCCTCTGTTAGTGAGAATCACACAGGAAATAGTTTCCCCTTGTTGGGTCTTCTATCTATTAAAGGATGAGATGATTATTAAGACGAGTCTAGGCAGTGTTAGTTGTTCAGTTTTTGGCAGAAAAAGACAGAGAGGCTCCTTGGAAGAGCTGGTCAGGAGCAAAAGTTGGCTGCTTAGAGGAAAATGAGGAATGTGATGGCCTGGCAGATAATAAATAAACCGGCTGCTTCTGGGCATGTGGTGACCGTCCCTAAAAGGAATCATTTTAGCTTAATGTGACAAACCCCATGTGATCTCCTGGTCCACCCCAGTAGCATGGGGCCAAGGCGTCACTGCAGTACGAAGATTTCACTGGGTGCTATCTTCATTGGACCCTGCACAGGGCGTCAGATGACCCTGAGACTTGTAGCCAAGTATGACACCTTCATCCATGCAGCACGCAGGACCAGGCCCCTCGCCTAGGTGAGCTGGTGGCAGACAGGGCCTCCTTTTCTGCGTCCAAGTTTACTATTTCCATGTGATGTGAACTACTGTCGATCTTGAAATGGACATGCCTAGGCTCTGAGGTGACTCTGTGAATTCAGTGGGTCAACTGAGTTAAACTGACTTGTGTCATGGACATCCGAGGCCATGGTGCACAGAACGCCAGCCAGGCATCAAAAAGACTTGAGTTCAAATCCATCCTCAGGCACTTACTAGCTGTGTGACCCTGGACAAGTCACTTCACATCTATCAGTCTCAGTTTCCTCAACTGTAAAATGGGGTTAATAACAGCACCTTCCTCACTGGGTTGTTGTGAGGATCACATGAGTTGATATTTGTGAAGTGCTTAGCATAGTGCCTGGCACATAGTAGGCATTTAACAAATGCTTATTCCCTTCCCTTCCTTACTGCCCAGAAGAGCATTGGCCCACACCTGGCCATATTAGCAGCACATGTCACAGGCCGTTTTGGAAACAATGCAGGGGCTGCTTGCAAGGTCAGGTGTCTAATCAGCCCAAGCTGCCAATGGAACAGAGGTATGGTGCCTTCCCCTCCCTGCTGGGTTTTACAGAGTCCACCAGGTAGAATTTTGGGGGATTTTCTTCTGGCCATTTGTGCTCTTATGATCCCCATTTTCTAATTAAAGAAACTGAGATAGACAGAGATGAAGTGAGTTGCCCAGGGTTACACAGCTATTAAGTGTCTGAGGTTGGATTTGCACTCAGTGCTTTGTGACTCCATGGAGGTGCACGGGGGCACCCCCTAGTGGTCTCTGTAATTGGCACCTGAGCCCGAACTCAATGCATATATCAAACAAGGAAACCCATCCACGCCTTAGCCACTATCTCTTCTTGGCATCCAATGAGGTAGGGTTGATATAAGCTGCCTCCTGAGAATCTGCCTGGGGCAGGAAAGCTGGCTTCAGCCCCACCCAGACACAGCTTCCTGCTGTGAGCACATGGCAGCCCCCATATCTCTGTGTTGGGTCCCCTGATTATCGTTGAATGGTTATCCCACAATGGAAGTGGACAAGTAACCTTATCAGTTCTTAAAGGTCTGGATGTAATCTGGGACTCCTGGGAGGAGGAAACTGCTCTGTTCCTGGCATGGCAGTGGCTGATGGTGTGGCGAGGCACCTGTATCCAGAGCATAGATACACCAGCACAGAGAGATGCCATGAGATAGTCACCGAAGAAAGACAGCTTCAGGAAGTGTGAGCCCACCATGGCAGAGAGTGGTGCTAGCTATGACCACGACAAAATCTTTGGAACCTAGCTGAGTGGGCCAAGCCCTGTGAAGAAGCATCACTGGTCCAGGGGAGCTGCCTGAGAAATCAACAAGGAAGGGAAGGACTCCCAAAGTCAGGAGTCTGGAAGTACCCCCCTCCATGGGGGCCTCACCGCTATGATCCTATATGTTTGAAACACTCTCCCCATGGATACCGGGTCTAGCCATGGGAGAGTAGGCCCCATGTTCTGGAGAAAATGTTTTGTAAAGAACTTTCCTACTATGCTATCTTAGTAAATAAATGCCTTCCTAGAAGCAAATTTTGTGGGGTGGATTGTTGTTGGGGAGCCCAGAAGTTGGGGCTCCAAAGGCGACCTCTAGGGTTACCCCCAGGAACCTGACAGTAATAGTCATCACAGACTCAGCTGTGAGGGCAAACAGAGGGGGCGATAGTGATAGTATAGTTACAAATTTTGTTTTTATCAAATGTGCAGTTGAAAAACATTTATTAAGCACCTCTGTCTGCCAGGCACTGTGCTCTCATATCTTTACGGCCAGCCCTTCTTGAGTTGGTCAGTAATAAATCCCTGTACTGTAATTAATTTATATTGTCCATGGAATACCTTTTTAACTCACTTTCTTGGGGAAACCCTCGAAATGACTTAAACCTCAGCTTTAGGTGATGCCTCCCTAGGGGGCCGGGGCTGGGCTATATGAAGATGGTGAGTAAAGGTTGCCTAGCTCCTCTCTTGTTAGAGGCCAGGGTTCCCAGGACCGGCCCTGGTCCTGACTACATGGCTATATAGGGTATGGGGGCCTCTTATCCCTTACAGTGCCCCAACTTCTGTGGGCCCAGTGGAAATTAAATATTTCTAACCCCTATCCTACACGCATTAGATTGTAAACTCCCTGAGGGCAGGGACTAGCTTTTTGCCTCTTTTTGTATCTTCAGGGCTTAGCACACTGTTTGACACATAGTAGGCTCTTAATAAATGTTGATTGATGGCTCTAGGATCAATGTCCCAATCAAGGAAACGATGCCCCATATTCATAGAACTCAGGCACCCAGTTTAGCTTTTGAGAGCTGGAAAACAGTGTTTGTCAGCCAGCATCCAGGTCACCCATATGGGACATGTCCCCGCTATCTGGAACATGACAAGTGATGACCCAGCCCCTGCCTGAACACGTTCCATGAGGGGAAGGAAGCCACTGCCTCTGTAAGGGGCCCATTCTGCTCCCCATGGACATGAAGAGTGAGTCCCACTTCTGGAGGGAAGGGTTTGGACCAATTATTCTTTGCCATCTCAGTAAATACATGACTTTGCTAAAAGTTAATCATCTAAGTGTGGATTGTGATAGGATTGGTGGGTTGGGTTGGTTTTAGATAGCAACAGGCAACTATGTGCCTGGTTAGGTGCTGGAGACAGAGAAAAAGTAAAACGTCTCTGTCCTCAAGAAACTTACGTTTGGTTGGAAGAGACAAAATATACCTATATAAATGCATAAAAACAAATAGAAGCTAATTTGCAGGGGACACTGCTAGTTGTGGGGGGGGGGAGGGAGGCAGGATCAGAAAAGGCTTCACATCCAAGGTGGGAATTGAGCTGAGTTTTTGAAGGAAACAAGAGATTCCAAGAAGTGGAGGGGAGGAAGGAGGCGTGGCCAGGCATGGAGGATGGCCAATGCAAAGGCACTGTGGTGGAAAATGGATTGGCCCATGTGAGAATGGCAGACGGGCCAGTTTGGCTGGGCTACAGTGTGAAGGGGAGTGATGGGTAACAAATCTGAAAAGGTCAGCTGGAAGCAGGTTGTAGAACACTTTAAATGACAAGAGTTTATAGTTGTTTCTGGGCAATTTTGTGAGCAGGGCTGTCCATAAGGGCAGCCTTATCTATTTTGGCAGTTGTGGAGAGAGCTGAAGAAGGGAGACTGGAGGCAGATGGGTCAATGAGGTGGCTATTGCATTAGACCAATAGGAACTAGCGGGAGAGAGGAGGGGACGGATGCCCAAGCAACATGATAAGCGATTGGGTCTATAGGGAGAGAAAGAATGAGGAATGGAAGATAACAAAGTGGGTGATGGCTATGGCAGGGCCTTCCACAGTAATTGGGTTGGGGGAATAGTGGATTGAGAGAGTCAGGGAAATTCAGGGAGTTCCATTTGGAGGGATTGGAGGTGGGTCAGGAACACTGAGCATGGAACCCACCACTTCCTTGATCCTTTTCCTCCTAATCTCACAGTTCCCTTCCCCCACCCTTTGGGCAGGGCTCAGCTCTGCCAGTGGTTTCTCCATGCTTTTTGGAGGACCACTCTGGGACCATTTCCAGCTAAGTGGGATGAGTTTCCTCAACATCCACACTGATCTCTTCGATTTGTCTCCTCTTGTACCTTCAGGATTTTGTCTGGAGCATCTCCCATTCTTCTCAGTTGAATCCCCCTGAACAGCGTAGTTCATTGGGTACTCCCATCCTTCCCTCTGAACTTTTTAGCATCTGCTTACCTAAAATCTTGGGTGCAAGTCAGACTCTTGCTAGTTTTCTCCTCCTCTCTCAAACTCTAGAAGGTAGTGATCCCTCCCTCACCCTCCCAGTGTTCCTATCATTTCCCCTCACCCCAGCAGCCAGTCCCTCCCAGTTAGTGAGAATCAGATTCAGAGCAGAATTTCCCTTTGTTGGATCCTCCACTATGGAAGGATGAAATGGCCACTAAGGCAAGTCAAGAAGCAAGATCCACTTTGGGCTGAAAGTGCCAGCAGAGGTCTGCCCCTTGTGCCACCCGCCAGTGACTCTTCTCCCTTCACTTTCTGGACCCGGAGGCACCAAGGAGAGACAGAAGTGGGGAGCTGGAGTCACTACACGAGGCACCAGCCATAAAGGGGGCAGTTGTCAGAGGTGATGCTCTGACAGGACTTTCCAAAGCCAGGAGGTCATGGGGGATTCTCACTCTCACTTCTTGCAATGGCTTGACTTCCCATCAGGAGGCAGAAACTGAGGGCTTGCCCAAGGCAGCCTGCCAAGGGACCCAACCACTGGCTTTAGCTGGTAAGACTTTCAACCTCTCTATTACTTAGCACAGAAAACCTTCCTGACTAAGTGGAAAGAAGATTCCTAAGAAGTGAAGTCAATCCCCACTGGCAGTGGAAGGAGACTCAGCCAGCTGATGGAGGCTCCTACCATTTTTCTTATCTTTGGTCTCTAAGACTGAGGATGCTTGCAAGCACTCAGCAGCCCAATGACATTGGGAGCCTTTTGCTTCCCCTGGACAGAACACGGGGTGGGGGGGTGGGGTGGGGTGGGGGTGGGGTGAGCATTGCAAGGCTGGACTCCACCACAAGGAGCTGGGGCTACTGAAGCTGTAGCCGATGTTTAGCAATACAACCTGGCACTTAGCTTTGCCCTTTAGTAACTACCATTTAGCCTGTCTAAATGAGAGTGGATTTGGGGCTATTCTGGGAAGGGAAAGCAAAAATATGGCAACTTAGTGGGTATGGGAGGAAGAACTGATTGATAAGCATTGATTTTGAGAGAATTAATTCCTATCCCTGATGGGAATTTGGATAGGGAGCACTAAGGAGTGTAAAGTGAAGACTAGAGGCTGGTGGGGGGGACATATGGATATGCTCAGTTTGCTGTGAGCTGGGAGGCTCAAGCTTCAAAGGCCATCTGGGAGCTAATAATGCACCTCTAGTGTAGGGCTAGCCATGCCCTAATGTGGAAACAAGCCCAGGCTTTGAGAACAAGAGCTAAAAGGGACTTCAGAGCCTCTCTTGTTTTACCAATGGGGAAACTGAGGCTCCCCAGGATCCTAGACCCAGAGCTGGAAGGTACCTAAACTGTCATCTTGTCCAACTCCCTAATTTACAGATGAAGAAACTGAGGCTGTGAGTGGCTTATTCAAGGTCACATAGATAGTAAGCATCCAAGGCGGGCCTTAAACCCAGGCCTTCTATTTCCAGTGTTTTTTTCCACAGCATCTTTCTTCTTTCCTCTTTCTCCTGCCTGAGTCTCTGCTGGGATTTCTCCAGTGTCTGTATTTCCATTAGTGAATTTCTTTCTTTGTGCCTGTCTCTGCCTGATTGTAACTGGGTGCTAGTATCTCTGCATCCATGGCTCTGTCAGTGTTCCAGTTTGATGGTGTCTATGCTTATCGACAATCTCCCTCTTTTCCCAAAGTCTCTGTCAATGTCTCTGCTGATGTCTCTTTTGGGGGATTCCATCTTTAGGTCTTTCTGGCTCTGAGGGACTCTTTATGTCTCAGTCTCAGGGATCTTTCTGGGTCTCTGTCTCTGACGATATTTTTTTCCCACTCCACCCCCTCAATTTGGAAGGGGCAAGGGGAGACTGAATTAGGGGGAGGGGTGACCCCAGGCTGGCAGGAATAACCAAAGGGTGAAGCCATGGGGGGCTCCCCAAGGTTGTCATCGATTGGATGCAAGTCTCAGTTTCTCACTCTCTTAGTCTTTTTCCTTTTCTTGTCTTTCTCTGGGAGCCGATGCCCCTTACGCCCTGCTGTCTTGGAGTCAGGAGACTTGAGTACCAATCTTGGCTCTGCCAACTTTGTGGCCTTGAGCAAGTCACCTCACCTGTCTGGGCCTCAGTTCCCTCTCTTGTAAAAAGAGGGGCTCCAAGACTAGAATTCCACGTGTGGAATACTGGGGGTGGCCTGGGATGGGGCTGTGGAGCTATGGAAGGAGAGACAGAACTACAAATTCCCAAAAGGCACCGATCAATCTGGGCACCGCTCACGGGCCCTCCCGCCTCAGCCCTCAAGAGCTAAGTTACTCTGTTCCTCCCGGCTCGGGAGGGGTTGGGAAGGCTGGGGCCAGGAAGAACGGGCGGGAACCTCGTGGGGGGAGGATAGCGCTTTATTGGGGACCAGCCCCATGTGGGCCGGGGGTGGGGGGCATCACTCACACGCCAGCTTCCCATCGAAGCTGGACAGGCAGATGGCGAAGGCCTGGAGGGGACAGAGAGGGAATCGAAAATCCATGGTGAACGTGTCCGGGGCCACGCGACCGAATTGCAGCACCAGATAGTCAGCTGGAGGAGAAGAGAGGCAGCTGCGGAGACTCGGGGGCCTCATCCCCGGCCGAGGGACTACAATACCCATCAGCCATCGGGGCCGCCTCGGAGCTCGGCAAAGGGAGCCCGGCACGGCCTCTGCCGCAAGTTCTCCTGGGTGCTGTAGTCCAGTCACCATCCCTGCCCCAGCCCTGCAGGGGTGTGAAGTCGGGGAAAGAGTGGAGGCGCCACAGGGACCCCAGCTGGGAGCTGTGCTCCTGAGCCCATCTATGGTCGGGAATGATATCCTGGTTCTCTCCGTCCGAAGGAGACGCCGTGGGCCTACCTCTCTCTCCAGTTCCATGCCCGGAATGTTCTGTCTCCTCATTGCCCACTTGGCTCCCCTGGCTTCCTTCAAGTCCCAGATAAATCCCCACCTGCTGTAAGAAGCCTTTCCTGGTCCCCCAATAATGCTAGTGTCTTCTCTGTTGATTATCTCCAATTTATCCTGTCTACACTTTCTTTGTACTCAGTCCCGCTTTGGACGGGGAGCTCGTGGAGAGCAGGCACTGACCGACTTAGACGCCTACTAGTTGCTAGTTGACTGACTGATGTGGGGCTTTACGTTCACCCCAGGGGCTGCTCCCTTCCTGCCCCGCCCTTCCCCTTCTGGGGCCCCGCCCCGGGGCTCACGGTTGTCTGGGTGCACAATCTGGAAGTTTTTGACCGAGGCCCTAGTAACTCGCCCGTGGAAGTTGAGGACGTAGGCTCTGCTCTCGTAGCTCCAGGATGGGGCCTTGTTCTGTAGAAGCACCAGGCCTTCACTGGCCCCTCGCTGCAGACGGCTCAGAAGGGATTCCTGCTCCTGAGGAAAGACGAGGACCGCCCCTTGGACCTGCTTTGCCTACTCGGTGCTATGTCCCCAGTGTCCAGTCTTGTTCTGGGGTCCATGCCTTGGTGTCCACCAGCTTCCTTCTCCGGGCCTAATGTCTAAGTGTTCGGCTTCACTCTCAGGGACCCAGGAGTTTCCTCCCCCTTCCAGCTCCCTGTCCCAGCTCTGAGCTTCACTCACGTTCTGGGGCTGCACTTTGAGCCTTTGGTTCTGGGAATCAATGCCCGGGATGATAATTATCATCTTTCGAGGCCCCTGGAATCCCAGCACGTTGGTCTCCTGCAAGAAAGGCCCAGGATTTGTCCATCACCATTTCTTCCCCTCTTCTTCTGGCCCCCCTCCCTTGTCATACCAGCCCTCACATAGCACACTGCCCCCAGCTCTTCTCGGATCCGGGCAGACTGCGGCATGAAGGTTTTCTTCTCTGGGTTCACCCCGTTGTCGAAAATGGTGAATTTAGTGCCCAGGACATTAGACCTGCCGGTAGGACAAGACCTCTGAGAATCTGGGCAACCCTGGCCGAACCTCATAGATCCCTTCCGCCACCTGGCAAACTCTGCCGACCCAGGTATCCCTTTCCTCCAGACCCCACCCCCTTAGAGATCCAAGGCTGCCGGCTCTCCAGACCATATTAGGACTCAGGTTTCCACCCTCCAGCCTCTGACCCACCTGACTTTGCCCACAAAGTTGTCCCCATCTCGAGACAGGTCAGTGGAATCCAGGGAAATGAGGTAGTTAGAAGTCTTGCTTCGCTTCCTCTTACGCCCAGCCAGGAGAAAATGCTAGGAGTGGGGTGGGGGGTGGGGGTGGAGGGTCCCAGTTAAATATCTTAGGGTCTCCCTGCCATCCTTCACAGGCAGGGGGTGAAGTTCCATCCTGGCCTCTGAGTCTTTGAGGACTCACGGTGGCAGATGGGACAGGGATTTCGGGAGGCTAATCTGGGAGGGCTGGGCTGGGGTCCAAAGGTGAGAAGCAGCACAGGTCAGCCTCAAAGGCCCTGAAGTCCTAAAGGGCCATGGTGGAAAGCCTGGGTCAGGTGAGGGAAAGACTAAGTACTGGGGAGGTCCAAGGGCCAGGGGGAACCTGGTATTTTGGATCACAGGGATAGGAATTCCAGGATATGGGCGTTTGGCTCAGACTCCTAGGGTTTGGGGAACCGGAGTCCTTCCACTATGAGGTTGGGGCCTTCTGAGTCCAAGGGACTGGAGCCTGAGAAGTCTTGTTCACCAAGCAAAGAATTCTGAATTTGGGGGCTTGTGCTCTTGAGTCCTAGGAGAGGCAGGCAGGGACTCTGGGATTCAGGGCTCTAGGGACCACAGTTTCTGAAGGTGGCCTGAGGAATGGGAAGTGGTACTACTGGATTCTGGAACTGGGGACCAGGGACTCCAGGGTCCAGAGCGCAGGCCGGCCGGGGCGCACCTTCCTGCCATCGGGCCCCTCCAGGTAGAGGTAGTAGAAAGGGAAGATGCCCTTGTCCACGCCCCGCTTGTCTCGACTGATCACGCACTGCACGGTCCGGCAGCGAGGAGCCGGTCGCAGCACGTAGGCCTCCATATCCTCGCCAGGCTGCGGGCCAGGGGCGTGGGGCAGGAAGTGCGGCACTTTCCCGATGTCGCCTGCCCCAGCCCCGGCCCTGCGGCCCTCGGAAGACTCCAGCGCTATGGTCGCCGCCCCTGTCTCCACCTCGTCTTGCTTCTCCTCATCCTGTGTGGTGGCCTAGGTGTGAGCCACGCTTCGCGCGGACCACCCTCCCAGTGGCCACCGGGGAGGCTGGCCCCCGTGGACCGCCCTCCCATTGGCAGCCGGGGATTTGCCACTTTCTCATTAATTACTGGGGAGTCCTAGACTCCATAAATGCTCCCTCCCTGAGTCTTTACAGATGCAACAGGTAGGGGACCTGAGACTCAGGGACGTTCGTTACTTCTCTAATGTAACACAGGCAGGCAGTGCCAGAACAGGGTCTCGAATCGAGGTCTTTGCATTCCTTGACCGGACTACCCTCTTTCAGCGTGGAATCCACCTCCCCGCCCCGCCCTAGCGCTCCCTTTGCTCTTCGGTCCGCAAGAATGCCACTCTGGCGCTCTAGGAGGCTCGGGGCTCTGCATTCCCTCCACCTACCGAGACACGTCCACTGCGGCCCCAGCTCCTCCCAACTAGCGTTCTGCATCCCGATTCAGGGCTCTAGTGCAAAGGCCCCGCCCGGTCGGCCAGTTCCACGCTCTAATAGGAGCTTCTTAATGCCCAGGCCCGCCCCGCCGACGACGTTTCGAGCTCTGATTGGTCCCTTCGTCGACCAGCCCCTCTTCAGCTCTGAGCTGACCTTGCTGGACACCGAATCACCGTGGTCTAGGCCTCGCTGCGAGCCGCGTTCCAGTCCCGTGGCCGAAGCTTCGAAGCCCCTGCTCTCCTCACCGTCCGCCACCTCTTCCTCTGTGGGAAACTGAGCTGGAGGCGGTGTCGGTCCTGGCAGGCGGGGAGAGTACTGGGGTTAGGAACGCTGGGACTCCCCGGGGCCCTGGGCAAAGGCATGCCAACTCCAGGGTCCAGGAGGGGCAGGAGTGGGGAAAGCTGAGGGCTGGCATTCCTGGGTCCGAAGTATCTGTCTGGAGGTGTGGGTCTCTGCGGGAGGCGTGCTGGCCCAAAGCCCTGAGGTCTTAAGAACAAAGGGGGAGCAGTGACACCATTGGGGTGGGCGCGGCTGTTTGGTTTCCCGCTTACCTGGCCCCCTAGACTTCCTCTTCTCCCTCAGGTCATTCTGGGATCCTTGGCTGCAGCCAAGGCTCGACTCTCCCAGTTCCTCCTCATCGGTCGGATACTCTGCAGAGCTTTCTCGCTCTGCACCGAGAGAGAGAACGAGAGAGAGACAGACAGAGACAGAGAGACAGAGAGAGAGACACACACAGAGAGAGACAGAGAGAGACACACAGAGAGAGACAGAGACACACAGAAAGACAGACACAGAGAGAGAGACACACAGAGACACACACAGAGAGACAGACAGACAGAGAGACACAGAGACAGAGAGAGACACACAGAGAGACAGACAGAGACAGAGACAGAGAGACAGAGAGAGACACACACACAGAGAGACAGAGAGACAGAGAGAGATCACGTTGGGCCGGAGCGGGGAGGAGACCTTATTGTTCCTTCTGAGAGAGCCAGTTCTGAGCCAGCCTGGCTCCCAGCCCAGGGTTCCTCACCTTCCCGCATCTCCTCTGGCGTCGCCGCTGTCTCTTCCTCTGTTTTGTGTACTGGGGTCTTCGAAGGGCTGGATTCTCGCAGAGTGTCCAATCTCCCTAAGGAGGTGGAGGTGAAGGAGTGGGGTTGAGGGGTAACGAGTAATGGTGGCCCCTGTTCCGACCCCGGGTCCGGGCTTGGGGCATGTCTCCCCACCCTCCAGGAAGCCCCTTTTCACCTGGCCGCTGCCGAGCCGGCCATCCCCGGCGCCGGGTTCCAGGCAGCTCCTTGCTGGGAAACGGGATGACCGGGGCGTCCTCCACCGATACTTCCTCCAGTTCTGGGTCCGAGCTGTCTGTGAGCACAGAGTGAGAGCTGAGGCCAAGCCCTTGGGACGATGGGATCTCTGGTTGATGTGGACCAAGGGAGGGGGATTCTTGGGTCTTGAGGGGAAAGAAGCCCGAGACAAGGTCATCTGGGCTCCGAGGAGGCAGAGGTGCAGGCTGGGGAAAGGGCCAGCTGGGCTCCCCAGGGGCAAAGCCGGGGGGGGGGGGGGGGCAAAAAGTCTGGGAGGGGGTGCAGGAGCCTGCATCCCAGGAGTCAGGGGCAGGTCTAGGGTTCACGAGGAGGCGAGTTCTAGGAGGGCAGAGTTTACCAGCGCCTCCAAAGGTTTGTCGAGGGGTGCGTTCGCTGCCACAGTCGCCGCCACGGTTAACGCTGCCCTGAATACTGTGGGCGCCAGCTCGCAAGTGCGCCTCCAGCACGTTCTCCAGGAGAAAGGGGTTCTCCCGGCCTAAAGGACAACAGCGGTTCTGCCACGGGCCACAGGCCAAAGTGCCATGCCCAGCAGGCCGCCCTCCAGTCTCCCCGAGCTAGCCCTCACCGCGGTCCCCTGGGCCGCGCTCCTCTCGCCGCCGCTGGGGCCGCCGGGGCCGCAGGGAAGCGTCGGGATTGGCCTGGACCATCAGTGGCTCCTGGCGCTTGCGGCGCTGCTTCTTCTCAAACAGGCGCCGCTGAAGGAGGCCCTGAGGGCGCTTAGAGATCCTCTAGCCCCAAGGCGCCCGCCCTGTCTATCCCGTTTCACAGAGGGGAAGGCTGAGGCCCAGAGAGGCACAGTGGCCACTCTGAGGTCAAACAAGGGGCAGGGGCACAGCTTTGGCGGGAACAGGGAACTGGGATAAGGGGAGGGGCCCCAGTACCTGCTGCTCCAGTTTCTGCTGCCTCACAGCTGCCAGCTCGTCGCCCAGACTCCTGAAGAGAGAGATACATGGGTCTGAGGCTGGTCCTGGGCTCCCCCAATCTGTGGGTAGCCCCCTCCCAAAGCAGAACTTCTGTGAGATTACAAGCAGGAGAACTCTGGGGGCCCAGGAGTCTCCTTACCCTAGGGATCCAGGTGTTCCTTCTCCCAGGTTTGCCTTTCTGTAGCCTACTCCCTAGCTTTCTGCACCCCCAAACACACAGGGACCCATGCATACGTTCTCCAGACTCCATTCCACACCCCCAGCAGAAAAAGGCATAACTCACGAATCCTTCCTCCACAGGTCACTGTCCTGAGACATCCTAGTGATACAGGAATCAGGCCCCAGGATATTTAGGCTCCCCGTTCTTGGAGTTTAGCCTGCCTCAGAGAGGGAGTCTCAACCCCGATTCAGGACCCAGGAGAATGGCATCAGACCCTTTCAGATATCAAGGAGCCAGGGCCTCTGTCTTCTCTGGGATGCCCCTGGCCTTGACCTCCACTTTGCTTTCTGTCTTCCCTCAGCTGATCTATTTCTAGTTTGGAGGGCTGTGATTAGGGATTGAGGACAGAAAAGTCCTGCCTTCTGCCTCTGCAGCTTGATGGGAAAACCTTGGCTTTCAGCCCCTAGACCTACACCAGCTTCATAGCTTCAGCTCCTTCCTCCACCTCAATCACCCAGTCCCTCACTCTTTTACTCCCTTTCTCTCTTCCTCTATTTCTCCCTCAGTCAATATGCCACCCACTTCTGCACATTAGCAGCTTTCTCTCCTGACCTAAAAGGGAAAGGGATTCTCCACGAAACAGGAGAGACTGGGGAGTTATTGGGGGGGGGGGGCAAACTCATAGTTTCCTACATGAACTGGAACTCTAAGGCTGGGCTTTCTGAGGGCAAGGAACTCTGCCTCAAACTTTTGAGTATCTAAAGGGCTAAGGCACATGGGCCATGACAGCTAAATTGCAGAGGGGATGAGAACTGGGGGGCTCAGACTCCTGGGTCCCTAAAACCCCAGAAACCCCTCTGGACTTGGGAAACTGAGTCCCACTGAGAGTGGGGAGTGGGAAGAGACAAATTTCAGGGTCCCTGAAAGAAAGGGACATACAGTCTGGTTAGTTTCTCATCTGCCCCTCCTCCCCCACACCTGGTTTGCTCTCTCTCCCAAGGCTGGGCAGGTCCCTGGGTGGGGGGCTAGGTGCTAGCTAGCTTTCCTGATGCTCTGAGTCCCTGTGAGATCCCCCCCAGGACGGCCCCGCCCCCACTACCAGGCTCCCTGCCAGCCACTGAACCCCCTCCCCTATCCGCTGCCTAGCAACTGGCTCAACGTTCCAGCTTGGAATTGGTACTACTAGGTTCCTTAAAGGGCCCTAATCTCCACCCTGTGTCGCCCAAACCAAAGGTACTACAACTCCCAGGAAGACTGGCGGCGGAACCACGCATGGAAGAGCGACTAAGTCCATCGTGCCGCCTCCCGGGAGTTGTAGTTTGGTGGCCATTTCCAAGTCTTCTACCTGCTTTCCCCTAATAAGGAGACTGGGGCGGGGCTGAAACTGGGAGTTTGGGAGAAGCAGGCTGTCTCTCTGATGGGCGGAGTCCGTCCATGTGACACCGCCACACAGGCCACAGTGGCCCTTCCTATTCGTTAGTTTGGTGGCGGGGGCGGGACGAATGGAAAGTCTGGCAGCCAACGAAGAAGGGGGCGGCTGACCTTTGGCAACATCCAGGTTCAGAAACATCCTACCCTGCTCTGCGCTTCAGAAGTGCTGAGAACCTCCTCCCACTCCCCCCAGCTTGTGCGGAGAGAGACGTAAGCGGCCAGGGGGCAGGGGCGCCGTGGTCACTGTGGACGGAGGGCTGGAGGAGAGCGAGGGAGGCCGAGGCATTCCCTCCACGTTCTCCCAGGCAGTGTGCGGGTGGGGACAGGACTACATCTCCCAGCAACACCCGGGATACTCTGGCAGGGCCGCGCTACGGCTCTACCCCGAGGCTTCATGGGGACTTGTAGTTTCTGTACCTCCATCAGTTTTGGGTCGGCAGCTCTGTGGGGCAAATGGGGCACAGAGTGCTGAGGCCGAAGCCAGGGAAAAGGAGAAGGGGCTTTGACCCCAGCCCCAGCCTCCCCTGACTCGGTTCACTTGTCTCAGGCAGCTCTGAGCATGCTGCCCCGGGGGCTGTTGGCCGCTTTGCTGCTGCTGTTGCTGTCCACACCTGCCCAGCCAGCTCCTCTGGACCGTCCTGAACCTAAGAAGGAAGAGGTTCAGCCTTCTCCTCCCGAGACCCCGGTGAGACATGTTGCCCCACCCCCTCAATTTCTGTGGAGGGTCGGAACTACAACTCCCAGCAGCCTTCGCGACGTCCTCAGGCCTCCTGGGCACCTTGTTCTGGCAGCGTCTTCTGGGAGTTGGAGTCATTCCGAGGGCGACGGGGATGGATGATCGGTGGGAAAGCCAGGGCCTGGGTCACCATGCCCATGGGTCCCTCCAGCGGCGGCCCTCGAGGGTCGTGGGCACGGCAGCGACTTGGCCCCCTTCCTGCTGGGAGCAGAGTCCAGTCTGGAAACTTTACATATTTCCTTGTACCTTGGCAAATTCCTAGCTTTGAGCCGGCCCAAAGAGCTCTTGTGAACCAGGGGCTGCTGGGAAAAGAAATTGATCCTCCTAGCCTGTAGTTTTCAGGTACCCCGCAGGGCCAGACTCTGTCCTCTGTCTTGGGGGCTTACATCCTCCTGCCTGAAACAGCCTTTCCCCTTCTTGGAACCCTTAGCTCCCTCCAGGCTCAGGCCAAGGGCCCCTCTTCCCAGAGTCCTCTCCTGATAGCCTCCCAGTCCCTTGTTATGTTATATTTACACAGTCTGCATTTCCCATAACTCTATGTTGTTCTCCAAGCTGGAAATGTTTGGTTTTGTCTTGGTGACGCTGGTGCTTTCCACAGTGTCTGGCACTGAGTAGAATCATTGAATATGAGAAGAGAAGAAATGAAATGGTCGTTGGAGTTTTGGATTTGGGGGAAGGAATGCCAGGATTGGGGGAGGGTTCCTGAAATGCTAAATCTGGAGGGGGATGGATATGAATTGGACTGTCAGAGAGTGTGTGGTAGGTGCGGGGCATATGTCTCATGCAAAGTCCTGGAGGTCGGAGATAGACCAGAAGCCTGGGCTGGACCATGGAGTTAGTGAAGGAGAATGAGGCAGTGGACAGGTCCAAATAGGCAGCTTGAGAATGTGCCGTGAAACGTTTTCAAGCCAAGCTGGGGTGGTTTTGTTTGAACCTCTGAAGGTTCCAGAGCAGAGCAGGGCCTGGATCAGCCCCGGGCTTGAGGAATCTGCCCTGTCTCCCTAGGACACAGGACTCTATTACCATCGCTACTTACAAGAGGTGATCCAGGTCCTGGAGACAGATGGACATTTCCGAGAGAAACTGCAGGCTGCCAACGCGGAGGACATCAAGGTGAGGGGCGGGCTGAGTTAGGGCCAGTGTGGGGACCCCTCCATGGTCCCATGGTGCCCTCTGGGGGCCCCTTCTCCTGCTGCGCCTGCCCTCTCCAGCTGGCTGCTTGCTGCCTCACCATTGTGTTGACTGGGCCTCTTCATGTCTCCCTGGGGTCCAGAGTGGGAAACTGAGTCGGGAGCTTGACTTTGTCAGTCACCACATCCGCACCAAGCTGGATGAGCTCAAGCGGCAGGAGGTGTCTCGTCTTCGGATGCTGCTCAAGGCCAAGATGGACGCCGCCCAGGAGCCCGGTGAGGCCTGGACCCAGGGGGACGGGACACCTGCGCAGAGGTCCCTTGTAGACTCAGCCTGAGCGTGTCTCTCTCTCCCTGACCCCAGAGGTGCAGGTTGACCACCTGAGCCTTCTGAAGCAGTTTGAGCACCTGGACCCTCAGAACCAGCACACATTTGAGGCCCGAGACCTGGAGCTGCTGATTCAGACGGTGAGGCTCGTCTCAGAGTTCTGGATTCTGGGGAGGGCCGGGGTTCTGGGCCTCCCAGCCTCACTGGGTCCCCTGGAGCCCCAGGAGCATTTCTTCATTCAGAATAAGATGATGAGGCAGGGCTGCAACACTCGAGAACAAGCCAGGCTGCTCTCCTGCCCAGCCCATCCCGTGGCTGCCCTCCTGATGGGGTGCCAGGGCCAGGGCAGGCCAAGAAGCGACGTGGCACTGTCCCAGGCAGGTGGGACAGGTGTGGGGCCAGCCAGACCCCAGGATACTTGGCTTTCAGCCTCCTTCCTCAGGCCTGAAACCGTGAAGAAAGGGGCCAGAGCACAAGGCAGCGGCACCCCTGGGAGGGGGCCAGAGCCCCCTTGACCTTCTGGGATGGGTCCGCAGGCCACTCGGGACCTGGCGCAGTATGACGCAGCCCACCACGAGGAGTTTAAACGCTATGAGATGCTGAAGGAGCATGAGCGGCGGCGCTATCTGGACTCCCTGGGCAAGGAGCAGCGGCGGGTGGAAGAGCAGAGGCTGGAGGAGCAGAAGCAGAGGCACAGACAGCACCCGCGGCTGAATGTGCCGGTGAGGGCCAGGCTTGGGGCTCAGCACCTTGGGCAGCTCCCCCCATGGCTGTCGCTGGGAGGGGGAGTCTGGGCTTCGCCTTGGCCCACCTGCTGTGGTCCTGGGGCCCAGGCGTGGGCCTCACTCTCTCCTTGTCCCCCAGGGCAGCCAGGCCCAGCTGAAGGAGGTGTGGGAGGAGACGGACGGGCTGGATCCCACCGAGTTCAACCCTAAGACCTTCTTCAGGCTACACGGTAAGTTCCTGGGTGGGGCCCTGGGGGCTGTGGCGGACAAGGGCCCTAGCCTGGAGGCCTGGTTCCCCAGCCTCTGCCACTGCCTTCATGGAGGTGGACCGGAGAACTAGCGCCAGGCCTTGATTACTGTAGAGAGGCTGGTTCCCCTACCATTGAGAGGCCTCCCGTGGTCCCTTGCCTCCCACCCGGGTCTACCCGAGAGGGGATCTGGACCCCTTGGCACACTTGCTGATCGCTGACCCAGCCTGGCTCCCCTTCACTCCTGTCCCAGGGCCTGTGTGGGGAGGGTGACCGTAACCCTAACGCCCAGCCCACCCCAGAATCCAGGTGCCAGCCTCCCCAGCCTCAGGCCTCCCTGATACCTGCCCCCTTCCTGCCTTCCCCAGACACAAACAGCGATGGTGTCCTGGATGAACAGGAGCTGGAGGCTCTGTTTACCAAAGAGGTACGTGCTTTCTGCTGCCCAGGGTCAGGCCTTCAGGCTGCTGCTTGGCACAGACCCTGGCACGTACTTAATGTGTGTGGACTGCTTGACTCTAGCCCCCTCTGAGCTTCTTCCTTGCCCCCACCCATGTGCAGCTGGAGAAGGTGTATGACCCCAAGAATGAAGACGATGACATGCGGGAGATGGAGGAAGAAAGACTGAGGATGCGCGAGCACGTGATGAAGACAGTGAGGCTGGGAGTCCTGGGGAGGAGGGGCCCTGCAGCGCCCCCGCCCCGGCTCACGTCTGCCTCTGCCCCTCAGGTGGACACAAACCAGGACCGCCTGGTGACCCTAGAGGAATTTCTCCTGGCCACGCAGAGGAAGGAGTTTGAAGAGGCTGCCCCGAAGGGCTGGGAGGTGACCTAAAGGGGACCCAGCTGCTCGGTCCCAAGTGCCAAGCCATCTGTCGTGCCCTCACTTGCGGCCTTACTAGTCCCCCTGCTCTGTGGGCCTCTGTCTCCTGTCCCTGCCACTTGTCCTTGGCATGAGCACCGGGGCTTGGGGGCTGCTCCCGGACTCCCCCACCAGGAGGGCTGGGTTGGGGGGCCCAAGGGAAGGCCTGCTCTGCTTGACTCTGCCTCCCCCCAGACACTGGAGGAGCACCCAGCTTACACCGAGGAGGAATTGCGACGCTTTGAGGCAGAACTGGCAGCCCGAGAGGCTGAGCTGGCAGCGCAGGCCCAGCGGCTGAACCAGGAGAGCAAGGCCCTGGACCACTCCCAGGGGCTGCTGGAGGCCCAGAAGAAGGAGCTGCAGCAGGTGCCTGGGCTGGGCTGGGCAGCTCCTTCCAGCTCCCTTTGCACACCCCTAGAGGTGCACGGTGGGCCCCTGGGTCCACTCACCCCTGCCTCCTATCTCTGCACCCCTCCAGGCCGTCCTTCACATGGAGCAGAGGAAGCAGCAGCCGTCCCCAGACCCACCAGCTCCAGGCCCTGATGGACAGCTCCTTTTCCAGCCTCACCCAGGTGCACCCTGACCCCTGGCCAGGCCCCCCCCCCCCCCCGCCTCCTCTTGGTGCCTGACTGGGTATGTTTCTGAGAGAGCAAGAGCTAGGAGGTGGTGAAGACACTGGTCTTCTGCTGCTCTGCCCCACAGCCTGATGGGAATTGTGGTTTCTGGGGTTTCTTTGGCCAGCAGATGATCTGGGCCCCTGAGAGGGGGGAGGCTGGGAGCCAAGGTGTCTGGGGCCTCATTTTCTCTCTTCCCTTGTATTTGTAGAGACGGAAGTCCAAGCAGAGCCAGTTGTGGAAAAGGAGATTCCAGCCCCAGTCCCTGATTCTGCTGTGCCTGATTCCCAGCACTAGTGATCCCAAGGCCACCCAATAAAGACTTTCTGGGCACCACTACCACCTTGTATCTCTGTGCTACAGCTTGAGGGAGGGACAGTGGTTCTGGGGGTGGGATTGGCCCTCTGCCAAACTATCTGGTGTGCTTTTCCTTCCAGGTCCTTCCGCTAACCCACTCACCCATCCCCAACCTCTGCAAATAATGCCCTCTGTCTCTCACTGGCTGGCTCTCTATGTCTCTCTCTGCCTGGTTGGCTCTCTGCCTCTGTCTGGCTCCCTGTCTCTCTGTCTGTCACTGTCTCTGTCTCTCTGGCTGGCTGTCTCTCTGTCTCTTTCTGGCTGGTTCTCTGTCTCTGTCTCTGTCTGGTTCCCTGTATGTCTGTTTGTCACTGTCTCTGTCTTTTGTCTCTCTCTGGCTAGCTGTCTGTCTCTCTGGCTGGCAGGCTCTCTATCTCTCTCTGGCTGGCTGGTTCTGTGTCTGTCTGGCTCCCTGTCTCTCTGTCTGTCACTGTCTCTGTCTGTCTCTCTCTGGCTTGTTGACTCTGTCTCACTGTCTCTCTCTGGCTGGCTAGCTCTCTGTCTCTCTGGCTGGCTGGC